CTACACACTACTCTCTCTCTCTCTCTCTCTCTCTCTCTCCTCCTCTCTCTCTCTCTCTCTCTCTCTCTCTCTCTCTCTCACCCTCTCTAGGCAACAAATCTCTCGTCCACGGGAGAGAGACGTCACGCGTAAAGTTTCGAGACGGATACACAGTTTTTGCCACGACGGATTTGTAAAATTGATTTCGCCATCGAGTCCATGCTTTACGAGTTTTTCCTGGGTAAACGGATGGAAGAAACGACGATTTATTTCGCGCTAACTTTTTCCGCCTCCCCGAGGAGAAGAACATTCTCACTTTGTATCATAGAGATTTTGTAGACACGCGCGAGATTCTGCGAGATTCTGGGAGAAAGAGGAGCCGTTTGGTCGAGGCGGCTTCCATCAAGCCGCTTATCGAGCCGCGCCACCCCTCGTCCAGGATTGTTCCAAGGCGGGGGAAGAATCCTCGTGTCTCGTTTTCTTTCAGGCCAATCCTCTGTGTTTCACGTTTACGTCGTGTTATCGTCGCGCAAAGATTCGAACGTCAACGCTTCTGCATCTCGGGGGTTGTTTTCGAGCAGGGTGGATAAATTCTTTTTCGTCCGTGACGCGGTGGAGGCTCGCGAAATAGGGGTTGTTGGGAATGATGGAGAAGCTTGGAAAATTGGAATTCACTGTATTTTTTTTTTTTTGGTTTTTTTTGGCGGTGGTTTCGAGAATTTTCGTGAATTGCGGCTGTCGTGGATTTTTTTTCCCCCCCTGTTTGATTTCGAGGGTTTGAAGTTCGTTAGGGATGTTTTTACAGGCGAGGTTTGCGAATCGAATTGAAAAGATGTACCAAAAGCTTGTGACTTTCTGATATTTAAAGGGATGTAGAACCCCTTTTCTATCAAAGTATGTTCGAATGTACCTGATTAGAATTTTCTGAAATGTAAAAAGGAAATGTATCATTCCGACTCATCGAAACAAACAATCCTACCTAAAACATTTACCTAAAAAATATTACACGCTATTAAGATTTCCAACAAAAATATCTAATCTCGAGCAGAGATTAATTAATTAATTAATTTTGTCAGAAGCGTTTGCACATCGTCGGCCAACGATATAACGATTTTCATTTCCGTGTCTGTCCGACGAGAGCAGAGAATTCTGCTGGGGGGAAATAGTCGAACATCGAGGGTGGACATAATTCGTTGCAAGCGGCGCTTTTAATTCCGGCGCAGGAATGGAAAGTTTACGAGAATCAGGGCGCAAGAGTTGCGGAATTATCGAACTGCAAAGATTAAGTTCGCCAGTTATGCCAATATGAAAGCCTTCCGGAATACGAGGAAGAGAGGGAGGGGGGGATCGAGTTAGCTTGTTTATAGCGCGCCTTAACTCCCCGGCTCCCGATAGCGGGATAACTTATTCCCGGCCCCGGTATTTTATTTCGCGGGAAGAAGGAATGCCCCCGTTATCGCTATCCCCCCCAACCTTCCGTACAGATTTAAAGCGCAACACCTGGCCGGTTTAAAAATCTTATTCGAGCGAATTAAAAGCATCGTCCTCGTTCGTACTTTTGCTCCATCTCTGCGTCGAAGACTTTTCCTCGAGCATCACTAATCGAGTAAAGTTATTTCGACAATTTATCGTTCGAAACAATGAGAATCCCAATGCCAAAGATTATACACGAAAAGCGAATATAATATCTACGAGCAAATGTTATTTGACGAGTTGAACTTTATTCGAAAGTCAAGATCATTCGAAGAGTGTCAAGTCAAGATTGGAAATGAATTAAATCACAACCTTTAACAATAATAATTTTCAATCCTCCTCAGAAATTTTCCAATAATCTTTCCCCTTTGAAAAGGGGAGAAAGAACAATACGAATAGCAAAGATTATATACGAAAAGCGTATATAATATCTACGAGCAAATGTTATTTGACGAGTAATTAAACATTATTCGAAAGTTGCTTCACACGATCATTCAAGATTGCGAAATTAATTAAATCACAACCTTTTAACAATAATAATTTTCAATCCTCCTCGGAAACTCTCCCGATAATCTTTCCCCTTTGAAAAAGAGGGGGAGGGAAAAAACAATACGAATCGAACCTTTTTCCAAGTCGGGGCCGATGAACGTCGATAGCAATTTACAAATCGATCGGGGTTAAAAATTAAAAAGGCGTGGTAAACCGCGGTAATCCGCGATTACTCGGCCACGTTTGCTCGGCGAATCAACGGCGATTGGCCGATCGAATCGGTGGGAAGGATTTTGAACGAGAAGGCCAAGCTGAATTATTCACAATACATCACTCACCGACCACGTTGAGGCTGTAGTTCAACGACATCTTGGGCTCGGTGCTGACCTGGCACTCGTAAACCCCCGAGTCCCGTTCCTGGGGCGACTTGATCTGGAGGGTCCAGTTCTCGGACTTGTCCGGATGGATCACTTGGAACCTTAGATCCGAGGTGTACATCAGGATCCCCGCGCTCAGGATGTGCATGTCCCTTTTGCGCATCCAGGACACCTGCGAGATAAACAGAAGATGCGGGTTTAAGCCGGCGATACTTCATCTTGGGGGCTGTTGCAGCTGCTGCCGCGCTCTTGACCGATGATGGATGAGTCTCGGGGGGGCGAGTTGCGGATTTGGGTGGAACAGGTTGGAAATGGAGAACGCTGATTTGATTCAAGAAAATCATTTTTGAACGGTGAAATATTATTACATCGTTTAAAACTTAGTCTGAAAGATACCATCTTTTTTTTTTTATTCGAGAATAAAATAACAGGAGAACGTTAGATTTTTGTTACTTGATGCGTCGCAAAAGTTTAGGACGTTTCTTATTTTCGATTCTTGCAGATCTTTCGAAAGATGTTTCATCTTGAACGGGTGTATAAGGAAAATGATATTTCGGAGAGGAAAAATAAATTCAATTTTCGAATATTCCACTTCAATTATTCACCATTGCTAGGCCCGCACTTTCTTTCTCTGTTTTGTTTCTTCTTATATTTCTTTTCTCTTCTCTTGAGCAAGAGGCAAGAGTTGAAAATTTCTCTGTAAATTGTCCTATTCTAATCAGCTTCGATACATCTTTTTATCGATGCGGAATTACGTTTAACTCGTTCAATTTTCTATGAATTCGTGATTAAAATTTTACAATATTTTTCTTTACATTCAAAGTTGCCCAAGTTTTATAGAATAAAACGCGAAACCAATTTTTTTCCTTTTATCACATCGATCATCCCCCGCTTTCAGTTACAACCAGCACGAGGTAACGCGATTCGACGAGATTTAATTTAAAAAAAGAAAAATTCCCAAGATCCCCCCACATCCCTTTAAGATATTCGACGAGAATTTATTTTCCACGCTGACGAACTTGGGCGGGGCAATTAATAAAATAAATTGTTGCCCGCGCCGGATTACACGTCACAGAATTTTCCTACACAGGAAACTGTGTCTAACCACCAACTTGGCCCGAGGATCGTTTCATAATTAATTTCGCGACTACACTTTCTCGCGATACGGGAGATGCAATTAAAAGCATTTCAGACAGATTCCTCGGCAAGAAGTTTTTCCACGATAATTACACAGGGCGGGAATTAACAACGATAATGCAAATAATTAAAACGATTTAACAACACTCGTAATTAAGTAATTCTCGATAATATTCCCTCCCTCGATCGACAAGTTTGCAAAAGAATTCGCAACGATATCATAAAAAATATTGTCACTTCGTTTTCTCTCCCTCAAAGAAATTAATTTATTACAACGTGATTCCATCTTGATTACCGATACACACTTTCTACCATTAGCGTCCAATCGTTTCCTTCACGAGCAGAAATTAAAACTCTTCTTTATTTTTCTTTTCTCTTCTTAGTCTAAAACTTGTCGACCGGTTTTAGAATTGCCTGATTAAGAACAAGAATTTCAGTCAGTCGATCAGTCTTTCCTTTTTTTTTTTTTTCACGATACATATTTTTGCAACAGTTGAAAATTTGGAATAAAAGTTATGTTCGAGAATCGACGAATACAATTATTATTAGAAGAAAAGTAATTGAACGCAGTTAGAAGGAAAAAAGTATGAAGATATTTAAAGCACTCTTCCCTTCCTTCCCCCCCAAATCCACCGATCCATCTCGTCGATATTCGACACAGCTCGATTCCATCCATGGTTGAATCGCTACGTCGGCGAGGCGTGTCAGCCGGTGGCTTAATGCGCCGTGTGAGGCTTGTTTCCCGCGGAATATGCATAATGCAGCAGGAAGCCGTGTAACACGTATGGAACAACGTGTAACCGAAAGGCGCGAATAACCGACGTCACGAGGTTAATAATTATCGCTCGAATAGATTTCTCGTCTCTTGGCTGCAGCCAAAGGTAATTCGCTGTTTCTAATCGAACTCCATCGATCTCCACGCGCAGCGAACGAGCAGCTGTTTAAGCTTTATCAAAAGGATCAAGCACGCGGCGTTTCCCCGTCGATTTCGTTCCAGAAACTTGTTGAAACAGTTCGTTCGAGTCGAGTTTCTCCGTTTCTCCCGGCTGTGTTATATCTTGTTAACGGGGCAGGCAGGGATAACAAAATTTAGAAGGATTTATTTGCGTTTTGGTTACTTTCTCAAGAGAGCATTTCTTGAGTTGGGGAATTTTTTATGAAATTGGATTTTATTGGAAACGTCTTCCTCCGAAGAGGAATAGATTATGTTGTTAAAATGTAAGAAATATAAGGCACGTCTGTTTATTGAATTTGGAATCGTATTGGACGTTTATTTGTCGATTTTTCTTGCTGTTTAATTTTATTATAATTAAAATCTAGTTGTACGTGTAACGTCTTTTCATAGGCGTGTGTCTGGTTTCGATGGAAACTCGAGGTGCGTTTCGAAGAGTCGTTTCGTCTCTTTTATGCAGAATACTTGTTCCAACGGAGAAGTTCATTCATACCGAATACTTTCGAGGAAATTTTCTCGCGTTCGCTGAATTCTCTCACAGGAAACAGGGATCATATCGTTCATATTGTATGGAATATTTTAAGGCGCGTATCTGAATCTTTAACATCTTGAAATTCAATTGAAATTATATCCGTTTCCAAAGAGTCGAACATAAATCAAATGAATGTACAAAATCAAGTACAAAAAAAAAAGAATAGTAAAATTTGTAAGAAAAGCAATGTTGCACAGCGTCAAAAATATTCGTCCATTGTTAATTAAAAGATTCAACCAATTGGGAAATTGGAAAATTTATCAAAAAGGATTTAGTTACATTTTCATACGTGTTTCTTTTTTTTTCAATCAAACGAATCCGTCCAATTTCCAATAAAAAATCACGTCCCTTCGCAATATTGATAGCAGCATGATGAAACATTGTACAGCAAATTTTTTACGCACAAGTACACCTCTCACTAGCTGTATTATAGTCATCGAATCTTATTAGGAAATCGAATTAATTCGACTAATTCGTCTTCCTTGAGATAATATCGAATATTGCCTATTAGTTACAGCTGTCTTCTCGTACGAGAAAGAGAGAGAGAGAGAGGGGAATAAAGAGATCACGTTTGAAGGCACGATACAAAGATATTATTTTATGGATGATATCAGCAACGATGATCCGTTATTGATTCCGTATCTCACTCTCATCCATAGCCACGAGGTGAACGTCACAGTTACACGTAGTATGGCATCGATTAATACGTTTACCAGGATGATTATTGGCAATGCCTGTTAGGCATTAGTAAAGCAATGTCCACACACTGTGCTCCTATCAAAGGGGAGATTGAACATCCGGTTTAATAGAAATGTTTTATGTAATTAGACCGCTACGGTTGGCGCAGTGTTAATTAGTCACGTATGTAACATAATCGCACTTCCCGAATTCTGAAATGAAGGAATTTTCGATCGATCGTGAAATACGATCACAATAATCGAGAAGGAGAATCGAATCGAGGGATTTTTACTTTTTTTTTTAATTCTATTCCATTTTTTATTATTTTATCATTTTGCTCTATCTCTCGTGAATTCGTTTTCTATTTAAGAAAGTGTTCAATCTGTAGGTTTCTCGATTTTTTATTTTGAGAAAATTAATATTAATTTTAAGCTTCTAGCTTGACAAATTCTGACAGATTATTCGAGTATTCTGATTAAAATATCTTCTTCCTCTACGATTCGTTGTGATTGAAATATTCCAATATCTCTATAGCTTTCTTTAAAATAAGAAAGCCTCGTATAGAAATCTAAAATTATATATCTATTTTCTTAAACGAAAATTGTAAAATTCCTGGACAGGATGTTGTACCTAATAAAAGAGGGTATACGTAATTTTGTATACTTTCAATTTTCCCCACTGAATCGTATCAAAACAATCCGCGTGTGCAAAGAATCGACCAACTCCAATTTAATCTTCTTACGTAAAGGGATAAAAGAAAACAGGAGAGAGGAGGAGGAAATTTTGTCAAAATGCTGGCGCTCGGTGACAGATCAGGATAGTCGGAGGGGGATCGATCCTCGTCAATTTCAAATGAACGTCGGATATTCGGATATTTCAACGGGGAGATGATGAAGCGCTCGTCGATATCGTTGTAAACAATGTCCAAATTGCACGCAAAATTTGACAGCCGTTTATCCGAAAGAAAGCCAACAGAGATATATCGGCCGATCCGTTTTTAACTCGGTGAGAATCGAGCGCCGCTTGTCTAAGGAAATTTATTACGACGATAAATAAACTATCTTTTAAAAGGGAATCGATGATGGAAACGGCGCGAAAGATGGCGCGATCCCGCATGATCAACGCGTGTTTTATCGAGCTCCATAGCGGCATGAACATATAGGTCGATGCATAATAATAAATTTCGTTCAGAGATCAGATCCCTTTGAAACGAAAATTTTTTTTTTAATAACGGACCAGCTTTCGAATTATTCATCCAATGTCTTTGCCGTCATTTTTATTAATTTCTGTATTCAGCGAGTTTTGACTCGTTATCATACGCTGTTTATTAGAAATTAAACGTTGGAACGTGAGGAATTACGAGAAGAAAGGAAACGAAAAAAAGAAAGTCAGGTTGGATATTTTGAACAAGTAAGAAGATTTACGCGTATACGTGTGGATAAAAGTTTCTCAGAAAGTTAGAAAATTATTCAAGGAATCGACGATTGGATTTTAACGTCGAGCGGATATTTATTTTCAAAAAATTCTTTTTTCATTCTACCTTTTTCGTTCTCTTTCGTTTGAATCGATTTAAAATTTTACAATCGGATTAAATTTGCCGCCGCGTTGTATCTGTAATTTAATTACACGTCCTTTGAGAGGTTTATTTTACACATGCAAGGTATTTGTTTAATATACGTAATTAGCAACGCAAGCGCTCAGATTTTGCGGTATTCCATTATCCAATTATAGAACAGAATTACAAGCGACAAAGTATGCTTTATAAAGGTCATAAAATATAGCATAGGTTTCACGCGATAAAACGAAACAAATCCTGACAAATCTGATTTATTATCAATGCACGTGTATATAATAATTCGCGCGCATTTCAAAA